CGTTAATTGCGTCTTGTGCTGTGACTTGTGGAGCAGTTGCAATCACGTCGTCGTTATTTTCCTGATTGTTTGTTGTATAATTAGAAACCTCTTTTATGATCTCTTCGTCAGACATTTCATGAAAAACATTTTTCTCTTTATCCATTCGACGGCACCAGATTTGAAAATCTTCCAGACTTATCTGTGTTTCAGTAGCAACTTGTTCTATAACATCCGAAGTAACACTGATTTGTGGAACGTTGCTAGGAGTGGTGACTATATCTGGCCATAACTTTTTCCAAGACGATTTAATAGTTGATGACGGTAATGCATTCCACGACTGACAAACACCAAAAACCAAGTCTTTCATATTAAATTCTTTTAAAGTTTTTTCTATTGGTTGGTCTTTTGATACGGCTCTCAGAAGTAGGTTTTTCTTATTGTCTTGGTTGACAAACTGAATGATATTCTGGTCCATTGGGTGAATCAGTGCAATGCAATTTGGCAGAAGAAGCATCGCAGTGATGCATTTATCCTCAGGTGTTAGTTCTTCTTCAGATGGATGACCGGGAGCGTTATCAAGAAGCAACAACGCTTTTTGAGGAAAATTATGATCTTTTAACCATTTTCGAACTTCACGTACGAAGCATTCATCAAACCACTTTTTGTAAAGGTCTTTTGTCATCCATGCACTTTTTTGTCCGTAATAGTGTACAGGTAAATCAATGTTTTTGAATGCCGGTGGTTTATTAGATTTCCCAATGACATCATCTTAAGCGCGTGTGTGTCCGCAGCGTTAGCACATGGTAGTATGGTTACACGCTCTTTACTTACTTTTCGTCCAGGTACGGATTTTTCGTTACCAGAAACGAAAGTTTTGTTAGGCATCACACGCCAAAAAAGCCCTGATTCGTCTGCATTGTACACCTGTGACGGGTCAAGATTTAAATCGTTCACCTTTTGCAAACATCTTAATTTAAAGGGCTCTATGGAGGTGGCATCGTTAGAAAGTTTCTCTCCTGTAATAGTCATTAAACGTATGCCATGACGACTTTTAAAACATTCTAGCCATCCTTTGCTGGCCACAAAATCATCTTTTTTTGTTATTTCCTTATAAAAAACTTAGCTTTCATGGCCAACATGGGTCCTGAAATTGGTGCATGCCTATTTCTTTCCTGAAGAAACCACATGTACAAAGCTTCTTTCACTTCTGGATGTTCAGCTTTCTTGAGTGTCTGTCTCTTGCCTGGCCCGCAGTCAGTAGTTGACACGAACTTCTTGATCATCTCGTGGTTTCTTTTAATGTCATAAATTGTAGATCGGTCTACGCTGTATTCACTTACTAAACTACTGAAAGTTTCATTGCGATTTAAGCGGTCTAAAATGTTGCATTTTTCTTTAATTGTCAATATTTTGTGCTTTCGCTTCGGAGTTTGTGATGACATTACTAGGTACTATACTTAATACACAATGAATAAATAGTAAACAATGAACGCACGCTAGGCCGTACCGCTATCACCAGTAGTCAGATTCAAACTAAGTAAAACAATGCTTACGCGTCGAGCAACATAGCGGTGGCGCGTACAAGTTGTAACCTGCTCAAACCTGTGTGATCTACATTAGCGAAGATTGTCAAATACTTATGTATAGGGCTATTCCTCTATAGTTTTCACAGATTTTTTTATCCCCTTTTTCAAACATTGAGCTTATTAACGCCTCACTCCATTCAAGCTTCAGATGATGGCCGTGACAATTCGATCTCAAAAAAAGCATGTAACGGTTGAACCGTGTGAAACAAGGAACATCGGTATTCGGGTAGCAACTATAAATAAATTCTCTCTCGGCTCAATATGCCTTGGTCGGTATCGGCCCATATAAATTCTGCCACTAAAGCGGAACGATCTCATTGTTTCTTGCTGCACACATGCCGCAAGCGACAGTAGCAAATATGCCGGCAAACCTACTAAGTCTCCTTTTGGAATTTTTACCGACACCGTTTATGTCTGCTCAGTGGCGAGAAAAATGTTTAGCTGGTCAGTTAGTTTTGTAGAGAACAAGGGAGTTACTTTAAAAGTACGGACCAATCTGTTTTCGAAGTTGGCGCGAATCTATCTCCCGAGACACTTACATATGTACCGCTTGTTGAATAATGCAATCAAATCTAGAGTAGGTGCTTTAACATTGTAGAAAGTTCAAGTAGCCGCTGACGGAAATACGAGGTACAAAGAGATATACAACATCCGACTAATTGGAATTGAACCAGGGATAATACAAAAATGCTGGAACATTCAAATTAAAAAGAAAACACAAACAGAATAGAATCGAATAATAAGCAAAAAAGAAACGTTCATCAATACAGTGCCTAACAATTTTCAAAATTATTCGATATGTCCACGTTTTCGAAGGCCTCCGTCAAAGTCGGACGTTCAACATGTAAAAAAGCAGTACAAACATACCAGCTTAGCAGTCTAGTCTTTGTGCTTGAAGACTTTTGAAAATAGACGTCTTTTGAAATACTTGTTTACTTTGCACAAATAGTTGTGACCAGGGGCGGATGGGATAGATCGGGTCGGCGCAGCGGCGTCGAATCGGTGCCTTGGGATAGTTAATAAGGATAGGCAGATGAGTTGAAAAGCGAAAAAAAATGAAAGATCTATTTTTATAGGTATATAAATATTATAAAGTAAGTTAATACATAATTTTTCTATTTTTAACAGCCATTAACTGATGAGTAGTAAAAAAATATATTTTACACATTGCACACTAAATTAACAAAACAAAGCAAGTATTGAAAAAGTATTGAAAAAATGCAATATTATACAGGGTGTCCGCAAACTTGGGGTTTTCCTTTACACGACGTGTAGATCTTGAAAACATAAGCAATTTTTCTTAGTACCATATACACCAATGTCTTAAGGGAACCGAGATAAAGGGCTCTGCAACATCAAAAATATCTGAATACCGTCCTGTAGCCGCGATCCGGGACATCACCGATTGGTACAAGGTCTCAACCCGACGGCAGAACTGGGTCGGGGTCAGTGTGTCAGGTCAGTATGCAACCTTTAACCGACGGTTACGATCACGCGTGTAGAGGTAAACGAACCCGTATAATCGATTGCGTTTCAAAAAAAAAATAATAATGGCACACTCATACACCAATAATGAACTCGTTGATATGTTGTTAATTTATGGCGAATGTCTTCAAAATGCTACAGAGGCTTCGCGAGTGTATGCAGATCGTTTCCCTAGACGATATCATCCACGGCCCCGCAGATTTGTGTACCTGGTCCAGAGAGTCAGGGATACGGGCCATTTGGAGGAATTTCGAGGTGGGCACAGTGGGAGGCCTAGACAACCACGAATGGTGCAAGTTGAGGAAGAACTACTGAATCGCGTAGACGAGAATCCCTCAACAAGCACTAGAGACGTGGCTAGAGAAGTGCAAGTATCACAAACTAAAGTGTGGCAAACGCTGCGTGAAGAGGGGCTGTATCCGTTTCACGTCCAACGTGTACAAGCCCTTCAACCTGACGATTTTCCAGCAAGAGTGCGGTCTTGTGAGTGGTTGTTGCATCAACATGACAATAATCCGGACTTTTTGAAGTGCATAATGGTGACAGACGAATCTACGTTCAACGTAATGGGGCGAATAACTTTCGCAACACTCATGTTTGGTCAGTAGAAAATCCGCACGCTGTCCGTCGGACACATTTTCAACAAACATTTTCGGTGAATGTTTGGGCTGGCATGGTGAACGGTATGCTCATTGGACCACTTATTCTCCCAAATCGATTGGACGGGATGCAATACCTAGACTTTTTACGCAACATTTTGCCTTCCTTGATAGATGTGCCATTAAGTGTAAGACAATCAATGTGGTTTCTGTACGATGGTGCACCGCCCCATTTTAGACGCGAAGTGCGTGAGTTTTTGAATGAATTATTTCCGAATAGGTGAATCGGACGTAATGGACCCGTAGCGTGGCCTCCGCGATCTCCAGACTTAACACCATGTGATTTTTTTCTTTGGGGAGAAATGAAACGCTTAGTGTACAAAAGTGAAGTGCATGCGGTTGGTGAACTTCGTCTCAGAATTGAAAAAGCTGGTGCTTTCATTCGGGGGAGGGACTCCATTCTCAAAGCCTACACCTTTACTTGGCTACGTCGTGCACGCACCTGTGTTTTTGATTCAAACGGCGATAACTTCGAACAATACCTATAAAGTACGTTTACCTAAAAACTGAAAACGCGGCAACGCCGTCATATTTGTTACCTCTGCTCGTGGTCTGCACCACCGCCTGCGTCTGCTTGGTAGCGCATCAGCTGATTTCATTTTCTGTTGGAGCGGTATGATTTCGGGCAGAGACGTACTTAGCCCTTCTCGTCAACTGGAGAGTGAGTACTTTTTCCTTTATTTTTTTTACTTGGTCGCCCTCGTTTCACTACTTTGTTATTTCAAGGGTAGTTGTTTCTGAAAAGGACAACCCCAACCTTGCGGACACCCTGTATAAGTACACTTGAGTAAGTATTTCATAAACAACATAAAATTTATAAAAAAGGCCAAATGTACAAAGTTAATACATCAATTGTTTTGAAAACATTGTGCTTATATGCCCTAAACCATTAATGATTTCGTCATTTTCAATACCATTTAAAATTTCTTTTTCGCAGATCATTATCATTAATGATTCCAACCGCGACTGTGATATTGTACCTCGTAGTCGGTTTTTAATATATTTTAGCTTAGAAAATGATCTTTCACAAGCTACTTGTGAGATTGGTAATGTAAGTAAGAATTTATAGGCTAAGGCAAGAGTGGAATATATGTACTTCTGGGTACTGGCACTGAGTACTGTTTCCCTCATTGCATCCTAGGAGTTTCTCCGATTCTTCACTTGCATCACCTTCCATTTTAAAATCTAAAGAATACTGGTCCTGAATATTTAATTTTAATGAATCCCAGTTTGATATAAAATTTTCCAATTCATTATGAGCTACATTTGAATTGATTGATAAAAGTTTTTAGTTTAAACTATCTTTTATATCACTAAAATTCTTAGTATCCAACATACTAAAATCCTTACATATCTCAAAATTTTTTTGAAAGCGGTTTGCCATTGAGTGTACGATAGTATCTACAATGTTGAATGTCTCTATTTTGTATCTGTCATTCTTATTCTCCGATCTTTCATCAGAAGATCCTTCTCCTCGCATTTTTTTAACTCGTCTTGACCGTACTTCTGGTAAATCGATTTCAATATTAATGTCACTATTTTCTGGGTCATCACAATTGTCCGGTGCCCCGGTGGGCCCATCCGCCCCTGGCTTGTGACGAAAGTTTGAGTCAGATAGCTTGACACGAACTTCACTATTTTCTAAAATCCTCTCAGTCCTGAACTATAATTTATGTCCAACAAAGTTCGCCGCCTTCTTAAGCTGTTTTTATAACCTAACACTCAATTAAGCATAAAGCGCTTTGATGTAGAAGGAAATACATACAAAAGAATAAAAAACAAGGCCCATCTCCGCTTCCTGCTGTTACAAGGCAACCGACGAGTGACAGACAGACGGACAGACAGCAGCATGCTTCTCGTCTTATACATTCGCTTCAACAACTTGATATTATTTCAGGTGCTCCACGCATTCAAATCAGTTGTGACGGCCTCCGTGTTTTCCGAAGCCCGGCGGCCGCGGGCACAATTTTGACATTTTAAGTAGCCACTTCAGGTTTCGGTTTCACCGACATTCTTTCCGTTCATTCGTCTGACGTGCTCTCATTCATCACGGAATCCGACTATAATCTGCGTCTGCTCAAACTTGACAAGGACGTAGATCAATGAGAATTGCGAGGGATCAAGGATACCTTTGGAGCAACGTTGCCAAATGCTTTTCGATCAACCGACAACACCTACGATCGCTGGACAACAAATTTTAGTTTTTTAATTGTATCTTGTGGGAAAAGTGCTCTTCTTTGTTAATTTTGGGGCGCTGAATCCAAAAATGACAATGAAATAAAAAAAATAGTTGCGGTTTAGAAAAAAATTTTTTTATTTTTAAGGATATATTAAAAAAAATAACAAGATTCATATAGGTACTTATAAGAATCACTATATGCGCTGTCTTTTAGCTGTTCTTTTATGGATCGTTTCTGGAGCTCTGGAGCATCTCTACCAAGAGACCAACAGTAGTCTGCAAGCATGGAAGGATTCCACTTTCCCTGGTACCTTTTTTCCATTGTTGAAATATCCTGATGAAAACGTTCGCCGTGCTCATTACTTACGGCTCCGCAATTGTCAGGAAAAAAGTCCAGGTGTGAGTGTAGGAAATCTATCTTAAGAGACATATTACAGCCTATCTTTTGATACGATGACAGCATATTTTTGACAAGGGTTTTATAGTTGTCAGCTTTTCTATTTCCCAAGAAATTAGTGACCACCAGACGGAAATCATTCCAACCAGTTTTTTCGATACCTGTTAAAGTGTTTTCAAACTGTGTATCTTTCAAAATATTTCGAATCTGTGGCCCAACAAAAATACCTTCTTTAACCTTTGCCTCACTCAGTCTTGGAAATTTCTGACGTAGGTATTGAAAAGCTGACCCATCTCTATCTAATGCCTTGACAAAGTTTTTCATTAGGCCCAACTTGATATGCAGTGGTGGTAATAAGATTTTTTTCGAATATACTAATGGCATATGCTGTACATTTTTTTGACCTGGCTCTAGGAATTGACGAACAGGCCAGTTTTGTCTGGTGTAATGAAGTGCCTTTGCCCGACTGTCCCATTTACACAAAAAACAGCAAAACTTTGTGTAGCCTAGCTGCAGCCCAAGTAAAAGTGCAACAACTTTCAAATCGCCACAAATATGCCATTGGTGCTCATCGTATTTTATGCATGTCAATAGGTACTTCATATTGTCATATGATTCTTTCATGTGAACTGCATACCCTACAGGAAGAGATGGTATATTTCCAATATGCAATAACACTGCCTTTAAACTCAATGTTGAACTGTCTATAAACAATCGCCATTCTTCTGGGTTATAGTTTATATTTAAAGCCGCCAGTAAGCCGTTAATGTTACCGCAGAAAACCAAGTTATTCTCCATATTGAAAAATGGTTCTAAGTCTTTGTGGCGTTTACGAAAAACACATACCGAAACATCTTCTAACAAGTTCCACTGCTGCAGTCTTGATCCAAGTAACTCTGCCTTACATTTTGGAAGTTCTAAATCTCTTACAAGATCATTTAATTCTGACTGTGTTATTTTGTGCGGTTGGTGGCATGACGTGCTCGGTATAAAATCAGGATCTCTTGACGTTGATGGCATATCTTCTTCCTGGCGAATCACTCGATCGCCATGATCTGATTCGTTTTCTGATTCGCAAGTCTAGGATTCTGGGGGTTTTGGAATAGGATTTTCGTCACTGTGAGGCACAGGTCTCATCGGAGATGGTATGTTTGGGTAGTTAATAACCGATTTTTTTTTTCTTGGACATACCTGTGGCTTGTCCAACACAAGGTACCATGCAAAAGTAACAATCATTAATATGATTTGTAGGCTCTCTCCAAACCATTGGGACAGCAAAGCGCATAGACCGTTTTTTGCCATTTAACCAGCTCCTCAGACTTGAAGCACATCTATTACAGCAGATGCGGGGTGCCCACTGTTTGTCTTGATCACCTAGTTTACAACCGAAATAAAGCTGATATGCCTTTGTTATTAGTGGAGTAATAGACCGTCTCTGAGACGCAAAAGTCACATCACCACACACGTAACAAAACTGATCTGGACTGTTTACACACTTTCGAGACATCTTGCATGAACGCTGTCACCCAACTGAGGAAAAAATGGCTAATATAAATCAATATAATGTACACGTATGTATAACGTAACACAATCATGCCGATTACATCATCTTTCCTTGCCGAATATAAAAATGTAGCACGTGCATTCTTGTGAATTACAGTATATTAACTCTGTCACAGCAGGAACACATATAATTACCTTATCTCTAAAACTTGAACTAATATTGAAAAAATAAGTTTCATTCCGGTTTTAGCACATTAAAAATAGTAATATTTTGTTGATTTTATTTAGGATATTTTTTGGCTGTTGATCAGTGTTACTTTTAAACTGAAGCTTTTTCTACATAGTTCAGTGTTATAGTGTCGGTTGTGTCTGAAGTCCTTTCAAAGTTGTAGGCAGCCATCAGGTGACCAACCTCCAAAAAATCCTTTGTTACACATTTGAATCATAGGGTAGTTGCACCAATTCTTTCGGATTTTCAACTTAAAAACTTTGTTTGGATATCCTGAAACAAGTAAAGCGTTTAGTTTATTGGCCCGAGGTTGCTTTGAACACTAAAGAAACCCCTATATTACAGAAAATAGATGTTTCCGTTTTTTATAAAGCTATAGCGGTTTATCCGCATTCATCCTTTATCCAGTAACTGAACAGTTTGAACCAAGTAATAACTGAATACGTAGTCCACAATAATTGGACACATTAGTATTTCTTCAAATAACAGTGCAAACCGCTTATAATGGACACGGCGGGACAGTGACAAATAGTCCATTATCGGCGGACGATCATCTTTTTTTTTGTTTTCTTTTTATACTCCAACTACCACGAAGGCCTAAGGCCTAAACACCCATTGGGTACCGTGGGGCTGTAGGGGGATAAGGGTAAAGAGGGAACGCCACACGGACTCTGGACTCCGCGTTCGACAATCAGAGACCCACTACCACCTACGGACAATCACAACATCCACAGCCAAGGGAAAAGTTTCTCCGGGGACGGGGTTCGAACCCGCACAGCGCACGGCGACTGATCAGGAGAGCGAAGAGTCTACTACTGCTGCCATAAAAGAAACACTTTTTTTAATGAAAAAAGCAGCAGAAATAACATATCAAAAGCTTAAAATGTGTATGTTTAACATGTATTACATAAATAGAGACACATACAAAAAAGTTATACGTAATTTTGAAATTTGCATTTTTTCAGAATCTGGTACACATACTACAGGCTTACGAGTACGTAGGTATGTGTGAAAAACGTAAATTATTTGGTAAAAAAAGCTAGTAATTTTCATTTGAACAGATTGTTTTTTTTTTGTATAACAGCAACTTGAATTTTATGTAATTTGATAAGTGTGGCTGTACTGTCTTCTTGCTGAAAATAACGTTGCAACTTTTCCACGCAGCCTAATGCCTCCTTAGTAGTCACCGGAAGCTCTTCTTCATCGTGGTTTTCTAGTTCGTCTTCCTGTTTATTATTGACAGATCCTTCATTAACCAAATTGGAGTCTGACAATTCCTGTGTTGCTATTAAATTATTGTCAACATTTACGTACTCATCAAAGTTGTCTATATTCAGTAAACTATCAATTTTTAGTAAATCACTTAATGGAATTTCATCTTCTGGATTAAAATCGTTGACTATTTTTCACTAAACCAGCATGGCGAAAACAATTACGAATCGTTTCTGCAGTAACCAATTCCCATGCAAATTTATAGCATCTAAAATGGTGACAGCTTTGGTAGTGTTGACATGTTGAAGCTCCATAATTTCCATCAACATATGTTTCTGATACATTTGTCACTCCAAATGACACCATGGTCCATTGGTTGCGGAACTGATGTCACATTGGGTGGAAAAAATTGAAGATTGATGTTATTAAGTGAAATGTTTGGATCAGCGTGGCAGTTATCGACCAAGAGCAAAGTTTTACGATTTTTCTTAACAAGTTCAGCGTCCCACTTTTTTAAATATTATTCAAAAATTGAGTCATCCAAGCTTTATTATTTCCAACATAATTGACAGGAATTGTTTTAATATTTTTGAACCATCTGGGATTCTTAAACTTCTCTGAAATAAAAAAAGGTCATACATTCTCTGCAGCACTGCCATTGAATATCAAAAAGATTACAACATGAATTTCTATTCATTCACTTACCTATTATCTTACTTTCTATTGCGGTATGGATGTTTGAAATCCATTTCCTTCGTGGTCTTCCTCGTTTATTTCTTTGTGCTGGTGTCCATTTCCAAACCCTTAATGGTATCCTTTCTTCGTTCATTCGTTGCAGGTGTCCATACCATTTTAACTGCCTCTGTGTTATATCGTCCATTATTGTATTTTCGACTTCCATTCTTTCTCTGATGGTCTCATTTCTAACATGGTCAAGTAAAGTTAAACCGGAACATCTTCTCCAGTACATCATTTCGGTTGAGAGAAGCTTTTGTGACATATTTTTATCTACAACCCACGCTTCTGACCCATACGTCAGTACTGGCTGAATCATAGCCTGATATATATTTTTTTGTTTTCTTTGTTAGGTTCTTACTCCACAAGATCGGATGTAGTGCTTTAATCATATTTTTTCCTT